CCTAATCTGTTCTTACATTCACTGAGTTGTTTGGTGGTTTTTTTTTCCATTTTCTCATTTAACCATCAGTTGTTTCATTTATTTCAACTGCTTTATTTATATATTTTGTATTTCCCCATTCTTGCAATAATTTCTTGTTCTTATTATATATAATCCCTCATCTCTTTAAGTATTCTTAGCATGTTTACATCTTTGCTTTAGGTTATTCTTCATCAGAAAGTTTATATTGTTTGGTTTAATATCTTTCCTTCTAATTTTCTTCTTGTGTCTTGGGAACTTGTACTTGTTTTCTGGTTGTGTGTTTGGGTCGGGTTGAAAACCAGGTCCTAGTTAGTGTGTGTTTTTTGTGTGTGCGTTTGAGAAGAGAGGAAAGACTGGTCCAAGCAATGAGCAAGGCAGGCCAAACATTTCTGAGATGATTTGCTCTTAGTTGATGAGATTTTCAGCAATTTTCCTTCATCGTTCTACTGATCATATGATTATCATCTACACTGGAATGCTTGACTATAAAGAGAGAGAGGTGGGGAAAATAGATATACATCAAAAATTTCCTGGTCAGAGTTACATTGTCCCTTTACTCAACATTGATGTAATTTTTTGGTATGAGAGCAGGGGAAGACTTTTGTATTTTCTGGCATATAGTAAACTCTTGGCTATCCTGTGAATCATAGCATCATCTATTTTCCCCCACCTAAGATGTTCTGAAATCTTTTCTTATATCAATCCTAGTTGTTTTTGTGTACTTTGATGTCATCCACATGCTCTCCTCTGTGGCACATAATAGGTGTTCAAGAAAATTCCAGCTGAATAATATTAAAATAGACACTGGAAAAAAACATTGGGAAGGATACTGCTTGAAGCTCAACAAACATTTGATAGATTGCCAAGAATAATCACCTTATAACCTCTTTGACCAAGAAGTATGACCACGTTATAGTAGATTACCTAGGCTCTTTGCCCCCCCTTTTTTTCCATTTCTATATGCACTTGAGGGAAAGGAGTTTGAGCTTGAGGTAAGAGATGAGCAAAAGGAAGAGATTCATTTTTAAGGGACTCTTGATCTCCAAATATATAATTTAATTATAATTGTAGTTCTTAGGATTGCTTCTTGATAGCTAGTATCAAGCTATCTATGGCTAAAAAGCATACTTATATATTTGTAAATGCATATATAAGCTTGTTTATTATGGCATGGTATGATGTGATTTGTAGAGTGAAATGCATTTTCCATTTATATATTATTTTCAGGAGAAAATTTCACTGTTTTATATTCATATGCTTTAGGTCTGTGAATCAGATATTTTAAAATTCCCATCAAAATTGCAAGGGCATTCATGGAAATAGAAAAAGTAGTTACGAAATCCCATTGAAAAAATAAGAGGCCTAGAATAGGCAAAGCAATACTTAGCAAGAAAAATGAAGCAGGAGGCATCACAATATCACACCTTAAATTATACTACAGTGCTATAGTAACAAAAACTGCATGGTATTTGCAACAAAAGAGACACATATASCAAAGGTACAGAATAGAAGAAACAGAGGCAAACCCACATAAATACATTTATCTCAGACAAAGACACCAAAAATATGCATTGGAGAAAAGATAGCCTTTTCAACAAATGGTGCTGGGAAAACTGGAAATTCATATGTATTATAATGAAATTAAATCCCCATCTCTCACCCTGCATAAAACTCAACTCAAAATGGATCAAAGTCCTAAGAATTAGACCAGAAACCCTGAACCTGCTAGAAGAAACTGTAGGCCCAATACTTCAACATATTGGCTCAGGACCTGGCTTCCTTAACAAGACTCCTAAAGTGCAATAAGTAAAATCAAGAATCAATAGATGGGATGGAATCAAATCTAAAAGCTTTTTCACAGCAAAGGAAACAATCAAGAGCATGAAGAGGCAGCCTACAGATGGAAGAAAAATCGATGTCGCCTGCACCTCAAATAGGGCATTTATATCCAGGATACACAAAGAACTCAGAAAACTCAACACCAAAAAATAAACAACCAAGTCAATAGATGGACAAAAAAATTAAACAGACACTTTCTCAAGAAGGATATGAAGAGTCAACAAATATATGAAAAAATGTTCAAAATCCTCTAGCAATTAGAGAAATGCAAATTAAAACTACACTGAGATTCCATTTCAGTCTAGTCAGAATGGCAATTATCAAGAATACAAGTAACAATAAATGTTGGTGAGGATGTGGGGAAAAGGTACACTCATACATGGCTCTTGGAATTGCAAATTGGTGCAACCACTCTGGAAAGCAGTATGGAGATTTCTCAGAAAACTTGGAATGGAACTACCAATTGACCCAGTTATCCCATTGCCCAGTTTATACCCAGAGGACTTAAAATCAGCATACTACAGTGATGCAGCCRCATCAACATTTATAGCAACACAATTCACAACAGCTAAGCTATGAAGCCAACCTAAATACCCTTCAACAGATGAAAGGATAAAGAAAATGTGGTATATAGAGACAATGGAGTATTACTTAGACTTAAAGAAGAATGACTTTATGACATTTGCCGGCAAATGGATGRATATGGAAAGTATCATGCTAAGTGAAATAAGCCAATCCCCAAAACCAAAGGTCGAATGTTTTCTCTGATATGTGGAAGCTAACCCACAATAAGGATAGGGGGGAGAAATAATAGCTCAGTGGATTAGACAAAGGGGAATGAAAGTAAGGGAAAAGGATGGAAAAAGGAAAGACAGTGGAATGAATCTGACATAATCATATCCTGTGTACCACATATCCTGTGTACCACACCATGTATACATCCACAAGAAATTAATTTAAAAATAACTATGGGTAAATATAGAAAGATCAATAGAGGGAAGGGAGAGGGGTAGGGAAAAAGAAGGAGAAGGAGAGGTACTGGGCTCTGAGTTAGAACAAGATATATTCCATGTTTATATAATTATATCAAAATAGATTCTGCTGTCTCATATAACTAAAAAGAATCAACTAAAAAAAAGCTGAAGTTTGTAATTAAGATGGAAACTTTGTGCTATCACCACCAACATTATTGTATCACATTACTGTATGTGCAAAGGATTATGCTGCAATCTTCCAACCAATGGTTAAGTGTGTTTTGCATAACTGAGAATTTTAGAGATCAAATGCCCTGAAGCTAATAAACAGCAGTCAGGTCTTCAAAACCAACTATTTAAAGCATTAATCTAGATACCCTATCCCCATTAACTATTCTTCTCAAGTATAAAATATTCCAGAATCTTTTCTTAAGCTTTTAGCTTTCTTTTGTAGTTYCTTTTTTTTTTCAAAAAAATTTTTAGTTGTAGTTGGACACAATACCTTTATTTTATTTATTTTTATGTGATGCTGAGGATCCACAACCCCAGCCCCTGTGTTCTTCCCTTTTTCTCTTTCAGCCCTATTCTTTCATTCCTGTTTCACTCMTTTTCTTTGCTAACTTCAAGGTTTAATACCTAAGAGGAAAGCAAAAGAATTACTAAGTTTGTGTATTAGGGATGAAAGAAGAGGAAAGGGGATAGATAAGGTAGATCTAACATTTAATTTACTTAATACATATACTTTATTTATTGTATAATATACATGGAGATTTGCAAAGTTTTATAGATGAATATATACATATAAGTAAAAGGTAGAGTGAATAAAAGAGAGGGTGTACTTTCTTAATGTGAAAWACAAAAACCTCATCAAAACAAACTTTGCCCAACAATCATCTTTCATTAGCCCCCCCAAAATCGGTTCCCTTTCCTCTATGATGTGCATGCCTGCTTCTGGCTTGATTAGAAATGAAGACCAGGAGAGAGAGGGATGTTGTATAAGTCAAAAGAAAATCCATTTTGTAAACATGTGTATCATTCCACCGTGTAGTCCCTTTTGACATTTACATAAGAATTTCTCTTTATGATTACTCTCCTTTTCTTGGTGGAATTTTTAGATCAACAGGCACAGTGACAAATAGAGCTTCCTAAGACAAAATGAGGATCCTTCACATGCTATTTTTATTAAAGAATAGAGAAAACCTTGTGTTTGGCTATAGATCGAAATTTTCCAAAGCATACTCTAAGACAATGAAAAGTATTCATCATACGTATCATTTAAAGTTTTTTTTTTTTAATAATACAAATGATGCACATGCTTAAAAAACAAACACGGAACATAAAATAGAAGCCAAAAATGTCATCTTAACACCCCGTAATATCTTGTCATATCTCTCTGCACCCCACCCCTTTTTTCTTTTTCTGTTGTTAGTTTGTAACAGTTGCTGCCAGACTCACTTGTTTTTTTTTTTTTTAAAGAAAGATAATTTGTGTAAAGAATGAGACTGATTTAATAGGGTGTATTTCTGAAATGCTCTAAAGGAGAGAAGAAGGGCCACATTTGTACTCTTGGTCTAGTCCTGTTGGGGAATGCGCAGGGAAGATTCCTTTGATTGGGACGAGAGCCTCTCTCACTGTAAAGACAATTTTTAGACCAATTGTTAAATATGTATAAGTTGGGAGTTCAACAAGTCTCCCAGCGTCGTGGACGGCAGCTTCTTTCGTTGACTGGGGCTTCAATGGCTGCTAAAATCTGCTTGTCAGTGGCCAGTGGTGGGAAGACGCCATTTGCTAAACCGGAACTGATTAAAATCTCAGAGTTGAGACCATTCCCAGTCAGCAAGAGCTTGCCAAGTGCACACAGTTCCTGTTCTGCTGTCTACTCTGAAGAGCACAGAATGGACGTCTGTCTGCCATTTCATTGGCAGTAGGATCTCTGCAGCTGCTGGTGAGCAAAATGGGGAGCAACAAGTCAATAGACAGGGTAGAGCGCTAACTACAGAACTCAGCCGAGAGTCCGGCTGTATGGCCTACTCTCGCCAAGATGAGGCGCGGACCCAGCCGGCCTCCGTTGTCTTCCGCTCGCCTCAGGTGCAGCGCGGATCCCTCCGCCGCTACGTGCATTCCCGATAGCGCTGCGCTCGGCTTTCCGGAAATACCCGGATGGAGGGGTAATGGCCGCCATCAGGGACTCGCAGGCAATGGGGACCACGACAGGTATTCCCTGTGAGCGGGACCGCCCAAACCGGCTAGGATGCCGGGACTTCTAGAGCACCAGCTAGGAGCCAACGAGCGAATTTGTGGGGGCTCTCGGGTCCCCAATACGGGCTACGGGATCCGCCTCTTGTGATAGGAAGCGCCTGTTAAAATAGTCCCGGCCATGCAGCGCTTCCGCTTAACTTGCTGCAAAGTTTTTCTGGAGAAGTCAGTCTTTTTATTCAGCGCTTTTGCAGACTGCTAGGGCTGGTCTGTTCGCTTCGTAGCTGGGGGTTGTTTTAAGTCTGAGCTTTTGGGACTCTCCACTCTCCCCCATCCTAGGGGYTGGGCGGGAGCGCGGCACGGTGTGCCTCCGCGCGCCCAAGGGGGCAGCGGAACCCCGGAGGAAGGGGCGGATCGGGCGCGGTGTTTGGGGCGAAGCGGGGCGCGSGGCGCTCGAAGCACCACTCGGCGGCTACCGCGGCTCGTCGAGACTGCATGGGCACCCCTCAGGCCCCACCCCTCGAGCTGTAGGTTCGCTAGCCCGACTCGACGGCATCCCTGTTATGGTCTCAGTCTCTGGTCATTGGGGGCTGTTTCTTGCAGAGGTGCCAAGCTCCCAGGCGCTCGCACCCTTCTCGCCCTCTTAAGAGCTGGGCAAAGGTGCTCTTACCTGTAGACCCCAACCACACTCAATGACAGATGAGTTTTGGTGTAACTGGCTTTTTTGCACTTGAAGTGTCCATTTTGAAACTGTTCTTAACATGGTGTCCTCTTTGTCGAGTAGGTAGTCTCTGACTAGGTGTCTTTGGTAGTTGAAAGTATATGGGGGTGAATGTACGTAAGATAAAATGTTTTAGCTCTTAAGTAGACCAGTGAGACAGTTGTATCTTTAAAGTTCCGAAAACAAAAGTTGAGGCTCGGTTTCCCTTTTTTATGTTTAAAATTTGGCCTTTTAGTGTTTGTGAACCATTTTAGTGAAAACATGGTTGAGTTTCTTACCAGAAGTCTTAAAAAAAAAAAAAAAAGAAAAAACTCTAGGAAAATGGAATTAGTGTTTAAAGGATTCATAAGAATGTTGAACTTTGTATGATTGTCTTAGTCATGAACAGTGAAGACAACAAACACATCAGGTTAGGAAATTAATTTGAGAGTCTGTGCATATTAGTCAATAATCTACAGATATTGTTTGAATTGCCTTTTCTGCAGCAAGAGGTTTAATTTGAGCATAAAGTTAATATCTTCAGGTTGAATAGATAACTACCATTTTAATTGACTCATGGAAATTCCTTGTCATTGTCAGAGTTTAACTCCAGATCTATACAAATCGGTTCCTTTTCTTTCAGCAAATCTTTTTTTCCCCTGAAATTTACAGACATTATGTTGCATTAATATTTTCAGGGCATCGGCATTTTGTGGGGGAAGGTAAACAGTAGACCACGTTGGTTTTTGCTAAAACTGTAATTACCAATTCAAAACATTTTATATATGGTTGTATGAAAAGATAAAAGGACAGTGACCACAGTGAATATCTACTGTATGAACGTAGAAGTGCTTCAGATTTTTACTATGTCACATTTCATATCCTGTCTTTTCTGGTAATAGTATCCTATGATGCCCAAAGTTTTTCTATTTTGAAATATGAAGAGAATTTGACTTCAAAATACAACTTCAGTGCCCTTTTAACGTACTTTTTATTGTTATTTTTTTGTTTGTATTTGTTTGGAATTTTTCTCATTGGATTATTGTGTGCTTTAAGGCACTAATACAACTTTTTTTTTTTWWAAATTATATGAGACTTGAATTTTGCCTAGATTCCTTCAGGTACTCTACTAAAAGATTATTGACAAAACACTATAATTAGAAGAAAAGGACTATTACAAAATGTTGAAATTTTACTTATTATCTGATCCAGGTGTGTAGGCAGTGAATGGGATATTGACTTCACATGATGAGCAATTTTCATAGGTCATTATACCAGAGTGAGAATTGTTAAGAGGTAATATGGTAGTAGGATAACAGGGTTGGGCCAGACTAATGTTCCCTCTCATATTAAATAAAGATATTAACTAGATTGATTCCAAGCTTTGAGTTGTAACTTTTGTAAATATATAATGTTGTCACTGGATATCAATGACAATGTAATATGCATAGGTTCAGAGAGGTGGTTTTTCAAAATTATGCTATATTGAATATGAAATGTTACCGATTGAGTACAGAAATGTTTCACTAACAGTTTTTGTAATCAAAATTTTAAAATCTTGCATTTTGTTTGCAGATAATCATCTCTTCCTTTGATCACGGTTGCTGATTGTGACATTGTCCAAGCATTAAATTGTGTGCCTTTTATTCCTTCAAGAAAGAGGTATTGTAAAGACTGAAATACCTGGAGTATTTGATTTGTTACATAGTAAGTTCATATGTTTTAATACTGGATTAAACTAAAATAGTTATTTAAATATCAGTTTTCATAAATTATAAGTTAGATTTTTTATTTTTGGTCTTAATAAATTATTTATACATGGGTTTTCCTTTTAATAGAAACCAAAAGGTAATTTTTGGTCTTATAGTTTATTATTTAATATTTTTCTTAAAGCTCTAAAGATGAATTTTAGATTTGTCATTTTTATGAATGTAGAGGTAGTAATAGGGGCATCTGAATAATGAACACTGGAGATAAAAATGATAGAAACTTATTTTATAGCTGTATAAATGGCCAGAAAAGTGACTGTGTTTTTGGTCTGGTCAGTGCTAAGTAGTACACCTAAGAAAAATTATGAAATATATATTTATATTAATAGCATCTACATTATGAGTCAGAAAAGGGTGTGGGAATCACTATAGATTTATTACTAATCTCCTGGAGACAGTCATCTGAATATCCTGGTGAGGACAAAAGAAAAGGCAAAAATCTGGTAATAAATCCATGTTATTAGAGGGAAAGCTATGGAAATGTAGTGAGAAATATTTTACCCTTGTACTGATTATCTACTCCTCACACACAGATGTCCTTGTTTGTATTTGATAGGTCTTAAGATTTGAAATCCCAGAATTCTTGGGTATCTCAGTATCTTAAAATTCCTCTCATCAAAGGTATTAAATATACTCATTAATATAGCACTAAATGAGGAAAAAGATTATGTATGTAACAGCTGAAGAGCTGAAGTAAACCATATCACCCTACATTATTATTTTATCAATCATAACTGTGTTCCTCCTTGATCTTCACAGATGGTTTTCTTTTTCAGGGCCACTTTTCACAAAGGCATGAATTTTTAATTTTGTCAAAAAATTTATGACAACTATTTTGAGTAGAGAGCAACAAAGCTTGAGTTGAGGTACCAGTTTATCAATGTTTTTTACTTGAATAACGTCTTCTATAATATTTGTTTGAGCCTCTTGCTAGGAGATTTACATGGGCACTGTGTTGTTCCTGAGTAGAGAAATTAATGCTGAATACTAAGAGTTTTTTATTCCATATTTGGTCTACATTATTCAAAAAAAGAAATATAAGTGCTTAGAACAAGAGCTTCGGATGTAGTGAAGTAAATAAGAGACTGCTGTATGATGACTTAGCAAATGATTTGGGTTGTTTCATCTTGCAAAATTTATGAGCAAAGTTTGACTAGAAATTTGTTGTGATTGGTCTGGCTGTGGGCTGGGGATATAGCTCAGTTGATAGAGTGCTTGCCCCACCCCCCCAAATAAATAAACCTATTCCCTGGTCTGGCTGTGTGAGAAAGTGTCAGAATATTAAAATGAAAGTGCTTAGGAGAAATACTTGGCCTTGGTAATGCAAGCCTGTAATTCTAGCTACTTAGGAAGCTGAAGCAGGAGGATCACAAGATGGAGGCTAGCCTCAAAAGAAAAAATAAAAAGGGCTAGGTATGTAATTCAGTGGTAAAGGGCCTCCGGGCTCAATCCCCAATAACACCCCATAAAATAAATAGAAGCTTAAAAGAATTAAATAGGCTTCCCAGGGGGAATCTCATTTCAAGAGGCAGTAATAGCTAAAACCAAGTATTGGCTTTATAAAAAGTTAAGTAACTCCAAAATACAGTGAAGCATCAATAGTTCCTGTTGAAAATTGGGTTGTAGGTTTTGACTGGTAGAAGACATACAGATTTTTGTCTGTTTAGTATTGCACCATTTGGGAAACAACCCTCACTATTCTGAGTGGTTGGTGAGCTGTCAGTCAGTATTATAACTCATCCCAGTTACAGCASTGATTATGTCTTACTCAAGCAGAGCCCATTAGAATTCTTTGAAATTCATGTATGAAAGTGGAAAGAAGCTCCCTTTTCTTTGAAGTTATTAATTTGGGAGGGAGCTAGTGACATTCTTTCCCATGTGTATGTGAATCCCATTTGTAGAGGGGGAATGTGAAGCCAATAGATATGAGAAAAGGATAGTGATAGAGTGCCAATTTCAGTCTCAGGGAACATAGACCCTTGGGCTAAAATTCCATGTGTAATTGATTTGAATGGGATTGCAGCAGAAAGTGTTCTTATGATTATGTGACCCTTATAAATTTAAGGTGTGTGCATTGCATGGTCATTCACATACTCCACATATTTGCTTCTTTCCTCTACCTTATAAAAGATGGTTTTCACTTACTACTTATTCATCATTCATGCATGCATTTAGTTCTTCCTTCATTCAACTTACAAACAGTTATTGAGTGTCTATTACATGTAAGTATGTGCAGCTGCCTGAATGGTTAAAATTCTGAATGAGGCTGAGTGGATGGTGGACTTTATCTAATATAGCACATTTAAGAAATATATTTAGTTTACACAGACCAACAAACATGCGTTGAGAATAATCAGTGTTGTGCTTAACATTTCAGTAAGAATTAGAGGAGTTTGAAGAACTCAAAGTGCTTTCAGATAAGGAATACAAATTCATGTGTAGGGAACAACACAAAAAAACAGATAAATGAATGCACAGTTGTTTTTTTAAATCTGAGTTCATTTAGGAAGGAAATTAGGGTTGGCCCATGTAGGCAGGTTTTTTTTTAAAGGAATCATAACTACACATGGGTTTTGACTTGTAAGTGGAGGTTTGATAGGCACAGAGAATAATTAAAGAAACAGTGGAGTTGGAAATGATTATTGGCTGACTCAAGATGGGGTGGAGATTGCTTTGTAACATTATTTTTGGGGAGTAAGAAGATAGTAGCAAATAAGATTTGACTTTTTAGGTAAATATGTGTGGCATTTAGAAAGCCAACCAGGAATTTCATTTCTTTTTACTTAGATAGAGGTTTCTTTGAGTAAAATGCTTATATTCCTTTTAAGATAATGCCATTTAGGGATGGTAAAACAAAGTAAATGTAACAAAATGGTGTAAAGTCATTCATTGTGGAAAAAACTTGGTTGTTTATCTATTTTGAATTTTTAAAAAACAGTAATTAACTTGGAATGCTTATGTATGTTTCATACATATTTTTTTCTTACCTCACCCTTTTCGAGAGATCTTTCAGTATAAACAGATAAAACCATACCTTCTTTAGAAATACAGCCAGTTTAAAACTAATGTAGCAATATATTTATAAAAATATTTTAAAAGAGACAAAGACCAAAACTGAAGCAATATTTGATTGCTTATAAAATTCATTTTGAGCTGGATACTAGGAATAGTATAGAGGTTAACATGTCACTTTGTCATTGAATGCTATTGTGTTTTAGACCCTTGCCTACTTTTTCCCCTCACAGTCATTTATCTGACCCTCAATTTGGAGAGTATCATTTGAAATATTCCATTATACCAGAGTTGGCAAACTTACTATAAATGGCCAGATAGTAAATGTTTTAGGCCATATGGTTTCTGTCACATTTATCAGCTGACATTATAACATGAATGCAGTCACAGACAATATGTAAATGAATGTGTGTGGCTGGGTTCCAATGAAAATTTCCAACATAGGCCACAGTCCAGATTTAGTCCACAGGTTGTAGTGTGCCAACCTCTGTGGTAGACTTAATCAGGTATTTCACAAGCTCTCAGTCCTGTGTGCCTACCTGCTAACATCTTTATTCTCCTCTCTAGTTACTACAAATGATTCTGTGCTCCTTTCCAAGTTCAATTGCAACTTATTCACTAGTTTCTATCCTTTCTGACCTGTTGAAAGGCATTGTTACTGCATTCATTCCTTTCTTTTATAGTTTTTTCGTTTTACTAGAATTGATTCTTTCCTTATTCTGGGAACACTTTCTTCATATGGCTTTCAGAATATTACATTCTGATTACCTTTAGTTTCACTGTATATTTATTTTCCATTTCATTTGATGGTTCTTATCTTTTTCCTCTCAGTGTTGTAATGTTTTAAGGCTCAGACTTTGGTCTTCTGTATTTATTTCTTGCTTATTTCATCCTGTTCCAAATATATAAATTCATATATCTCTTCTTGACTCTTAAAATTTTATCTTCCACCTAAACCTCTTTATTCTGTATCCAGTTACACATTCCACATTTCCAGTTGGATGTCAGATAGACATCTCAAAGTTTACACAACTAACACTGCCCTTTTGATATAATTCCCTGCTACTTTCATAGTCCCTTTTTTTTTTTTCCTTAGCAAAGAGCAACTCAGTTCTTCTAGTGACTGGGGTCATAATTTTTAGTTATTCTTGATATGTTTTTTTTTCTCTCTCAGAAACTATGTCAGCTGATCTTATGGGTCATGTTTTTCAAAATATATTCAGAATCTTACCATGCCTTATTGCTTTCATCAAGACCCATCATCTCATCAACTGGATAGTTGTAGTATATTAACCTTCAAACTGGTCCCTTGCTTCTGCTCTTAGATTCCTCTTTAATGCTGAAATGTGATCTCTTTAAAAAATAATTTGGCTCATGTTACTTCTCTGCTTCACTAGCTTCCCATCTCATACATAGTAAAACCAAAGTCCTTACAGCATCGTCCATCAAGCCCCAAGCCCTATTTTTTGAGGAAGTAGTACTAGTAATTGAATCGAGGGCCTCATGGATACTAGGCAAGCACTCTGCCACTAAACCGCATCCCCAGCCCTTTGTTAAAATTCTTATTTTGAGACAGGTTCTTGCTGAATTGCACAGACTGACCTTGTGATCCTCCTGCCTTAGCCTTCTGAGTAGCTGTGTACCAACACAACTGCTCCCAGGTTACTTCTTTGACCTAACTCTTACTGCTTTTTTTTTTTTTTATTCTTTTGTTCAGTTGTGCTGATATTTTTGGTATTTCCCAAATAGGCTAGACATGCTGTACACTCAGGGTCTTGGTATTTACTGTTTCTCTACGTGGAGTACTGGCTCCCTCATTTTCTTAAGATTTTGGCTCCAGGGGGCTGCAGTTGTGGCTCAGTGATAGAGTGCTTATCTAGC